TAATAATGAAAATTAACTAAAATAAAATAATAAGCCAAAATAATATATTAAAAAAATAAAAAAAATAAAATTAACGAATTAATAAAACTAAACTATTACATTAATAAAAATAAACAATTTAATTAATTTAACTATAACTAAGTAACGACATCCACAGGTTGACGGGTCCGGCACAACGAAAACCTCGCGCCGTGCCGCCACCAGAGGGCGCCGCCGCTCACCTCAGCCGACCCATCTCATCGTCGTGTTTTCGTTAGCTCGAGAGGCTCCACGTGCGCTCCCGCCCCGCGCGCGTCGCTGCGCCTCCGCCAGCTGTGCCGCCAGCTCGCCCCGCCGCGCATCGTACTCGTCCCGCAACCCGTGCTGAAGCTGCTCCAGCTCCACCTGGTGGGCCGCCTCCAGCTCGGGCCGTGATGTCCTCGAACTTGTGCATGTGTTCGGCGATGAGTCGCTCCTGCAGACGCGAAAACACAAGAGCATGCGGTCGCACAGTCACGCACTAGTCATCAAATTCATGACAATCGGTTGATCAATCAATCAATTAATCAAGTAATCAATGATTCACTATTAAGAATTCAATCAAGTCAATCAGTCAATTAATTAATTAATAAATCCATCATAATAAATTAATGCGTTAATTCCCGTATCGAAAATTCAATCAATAAATGTCTCAATCAGTCAATCAATCAATCAATCAATCGACGACCGGATGTTGACCTTCACTGACCTTCAGCTGTGATTTCTCATGCTGCAGACTTGCGCTGTACTGCGCGCCCACATTCTGCACCTGGTCACGATAATGCTGGATCACCTCTCCCTCGCCACGCTGCTGCTCTGCTAGCGCCCTCTGCATCTCCTCGGTGTCGAGCGCGCGCTTTGTCTCGGCGAGTTCGCTCGTCGCCCGCGGCAACCAGCGTCTGCAACTCCGTTGTCCTGCTCCTGCTCCTTCAGAGCCTTGATCTCCTCCTGAGGTGAAGGAAGATGAGGAATCAGAGTGGTACAACCGACACGATTTAACCACTTCCTGATCACACATATATATATATAAGGCCAAAAACAAAAATAGCGCGTACTGGGTTACCGTTCCTGGGACGACCCTATTTATTCCCACCGACCATAAACATTTTATTTGTCAATTTTCTTTTAAAGTCAGTAAAAAAAAATAAAAAAATACAAAATATTAATTCGAAAAGTCCTGCTTCAAAAGGCCCACAACGCACTCCTTCGGACATGGGTTCGTAATAAAATGTTTCAATAAAATAAAATGTTTTCCTGACCTAACCTACCCTATTTTTTTCCGGCAAGAAACGGTAACCACACTTATATTTTGTTTTGGCCTAACCAACATATAAATAATATAATAACATGTCATGTAGGGGTCATGTAGGGGTCATGTCACACAGCGGTCGAATCACACATACGTCCGGTCATGGCGCAGCGGTGGGGTCATGCAGGGGTCAGGTACCTGCTGTTCCGTGCTCATCGTAGCGCGAAGCTGTTCGACAGCAACTGCGTGCTCCCTCTGGAGAGAGCGAAGCAATTAAAAAGTTTCCTCGTGCTCCCGCTGGAGGGCGCTGATCGCTTCCTCGTGTTGCCGCTGGAGGGCGCTGGCGGTCTGCGTCTGCTCGCTCGTGTATCGCTCCACCATGCGCACGTGTTCCTCTACGAACCTCGTCTGCTCCTGCGCCGCGCTGCAGACGCAAACACACATGCGTAAACACATGTAAACACATGTAAACACATGTAAACACATGTATATGTAAACACATGTGTAAACACACACGTGAAACACTCCGTAAGGTGGGGAGGACGGGAAGGAGGGTAAGCGGTGAGGAGGAGTGGGGAGGACGAGAACCGCGTAGTGAACCTGCAGCCTCTCTGAGCTCGTAGATGAGGGAGGAGGGAGAGGAGAGGAGGTGGGGGAGAAGGGGAGGGAAAGGGGGTAAGGGTGGGGAGAGAGGGAGGAGCGACTAAGGTGGGGGAGGGGGGAGGAGGGGAAGGCGTGGAGGAGGAGAGTGGAGGAGGGGAGAGGGGAGGAGGGAGGAGGGAGGAGGGAGGAGGGAGGAGAGTAAGGGTGGGAGAGGAGGGGGTGATGTAGCCTGGTCAGGCTGAACCTGCAGGCCTCTCTAGCTCCGTGAGAGGAATGGGGAGGGGGGGCGAGGGGAGAGGGGGAGAGGTGGGGAGAAGGGGGGAGAGGTGGGGAGGAGGGTAAGGGTGAGGAGGAGGGGAGGAGGTACCTTGTCAGCTGAACCTGCAGCCTCTCTAGCTCATGCTGGTGCGTCTCCTCCAGCTCAGCTCTGCATCGTCGTAGCTCCACCTCCAGCTGAAGGTTGAACTCTGACTGCATTGCTGAAGCCTCCTTCCGGTGCTCCCGCTCCTCATCCTCCCTACACAGCAGGTCAAAGGTCATGTACAAGGTCATGGTCATCAACAATGAGAGAGAGAGAGAGAGAGAGACACACAGCAAGGCAAAGGTCATGTACAACCGCAGCAATTAAACACAGATTTCAGTAAGAATGTGTGGCTACTGAGGAATTCCTCCAAGATATATATGAATAAAGGATGAGAGACAATGAGAGAGAGAGAGAGCGAGAGAGAAAGAGAGAGAGAGAAAGAGAGAAAGAGAGAGAGAAAGAGAGAGAGAGAGAGAGAAAGAGAGCGAGAGAGAGAGACAGAGTGAGAGACAGAGAGAAAGAGAGAGAGAGAGAGAGAGAGAGAGAGAGATAGAGACACACACAGAGAGAGACAGAGAGATAGAGAGATCACACAGAGAGAGAAAGAGAGAGAGAGAGAGAGAGAGAGAGAGAGACAGAGAGAGACAGAGAGAGAGAGAGATAGAGAGATCACAGACAGAGAGAGATAGAGACACAGAGAGAGAGAGAGAGAGAGAGAGAGATCAGAGAGAGAGAGAGATAGAGAGAGAGAGAGAGAGAGAGAGAGAGAGAGAGATCACAGACAGAGAGAGATAGAGACACAGAGAGAGAGACACACACAGAGAGAAACAGCGTGTTTACCTGAGAGCCTCGGCCTCCTGTCTGATCTGTTGCTCGATCTCCGACCAGCGCTCGCGCGTTCCCTGCGTCTCCGCTGCCCTCTCCCCTCGCTGAGCCTCCCCCGCCGCCGCCAGCGCCTCCTCCTTCTCCGCGAGCATCCTCTCTCGCAGGAGACCCATCCTTAGCTCCTCCCTCACACGCAGCGAGCGAACCACCGCCGCCATCCTCCGCCGCGGTCGCTCCCTGCCAGGTGGCGCTGCCGACAGCGCGGACAGCGCGGCGTCGACGCGAGTCGTCCAGCGAGCGTACTTCTCGTCGACGGCGGCGGCGGCGTCGCGCGGCGCCCCCTGGAGCTCGCGTTCTCGCCGCGCCGCCAGCTCGCCGTGGATCGCGGCGATGTCCGTGCGACACTCCGCCATCGCGACGTCAAGCATCCTCCCGTCGTCGTCGTCGTCGGCGACGGGAAGCTGCGGCGGACGCGCCTCCAGCGCCGCGACCTTGACCTCCAGCGCGGCGACCTCATCGTCGAGTCGCGTCTCGGCGTCTCGCCGCAGCGCGTCCGCGGCGTCGGCGCACGCCGCCCGCAGCGCCACCTGCTGGCGCGCCCGCTCCTCGTCGTCGATCGCGTTGTCCACGGCAACGGCAGCCACCTCGCGCTCCGTGCGCGCGTCGAGCCGCAGCAACGCCATCTGGAGGGAGCGCTCTCCCTCCGCGCGGATGCTGCGCGTTGCCGCGGCGACGAGCCGCGAGTTCTCTGCATTCAGGTCGTTGGGGTCGCTGATGAGGTCACCAGGGAGGAGGTCGAGGGAGGAGGTCGCGGGGAGGAGGAGGTCGAGGGAGGAGGTGGCGCGCCACACCTCGCGCTCGAGGCCTCGCTGTAGACGCAGCGCGCGCAGCACCTGCCCCAGCTTCCTCTCCCTCTCTCCTCCATCTCCTCCTTCCTCTTCCTCCTCCTCCTCCTCGTGACTCGTGTCTGTTAACAGCGCTGTGGCGCCTCCGCCGCTGCCGCTGCCGCTACCTTCCTCCCGCTTGCTTCCGTCGGTCAGATACGCCTCGTCGCTCGTGATCGAACCCGCTCGCGCCACGCCGGACTCTACGGGAGAAACAAGAGAGCGTCGCTGAATCGTACGGACCCTCGCGTGCGAATTACGGACCTGTGTTCTTTATGTTTACAGATAAGCCGTATCCACATAGCCAGCGAAATTACAGTCCCACCACCGGAATTGGGAGGGGACATGTATTGAGATGATTAGGAGAGAGAGGATATGTACTGGGTTGGGTGGTTGGTGAGGGGTGGCAGGGGACATTTACTGGATGGGGGTGGGTTGGGTTGTTAGGGGACATGCAGGAGTCGAAATTAGATTTTTATTATGGTTCGGGATACCAGGTATTGAAATCTGGTATTGAAATCTGGTATCCCCCCAAAGATCTGGTATCCCATTTTTTGGATAGTAATTTCAACAATGTTGGTATCAAAAACCTTGAAATATGGAATAATAGCATTTGAAAATTATTAATATGTAATGTAATTATTATATAAAAACACTATAATATTCACAGATATGCACAGACAAGTACACTGCAGACGTATTGTCTAGACGCATTGTCTAGACGCATTGTCTGGTTCGCTTGATACAATGTATGTACACATCCCGATTTTGGCGATTTTTTTTTTTACTATCTTGGGGGGATTCCAAGCATTGAAATCTGGTATCCAACACAAGAATCTACTATCCCGCGGATATCGGGATACCGCTAATTTCGACCCCTGCCATGACATGGGTACTGGATGGGTGGAGAGGGTACCAGGAGAGGGGTGACAGGGTGTGGTGTGGGGGGGAGGGGGTGAGAGAAGGGTATACATCCGCTCACCCTCAGCCGCGCGCAGTCTCGCGTCGTACTCCGCTCGGATCTCTCGCTCCTGCCTCTCCCGTTCCCGCTCCCGCCGCTCCTTCTCCTCCTCCTGCTTGCCCCTCTCTCGCTCCTGCTGCTGCCGCGTCTCCTCCAGCTCCGACTCCTTCATCTCGAGCTCCTGGTAGGAAGACTCGAGCGCGTCGATCAGCTTCTGACGCATCTTGTCCGACTCTCCTAAACACCGAGACACCGCGCGGGACAAGGTCATTGCAACGAGATGGCAAAGGGCAAAGTCAAGGTCAACGATCCGCGAATCAAAGTTAACACTCGATGCGAACACTAGTGGCCCGTTGCCAGAAACAAAATTGGTCTTAACATGAGCTTTTTCTCGTAGACTGTCAATAGTATTTTGAGTTACGTAAAAAGGCGTGTGCACTCCCTTGTCCCCTGTACCAGTAAAAACACTGTCGAACATCGAAACAATCACCGAGGTTACACTTGCAAATTCGTAATTACATTCGCAAACATGTGCATGTTGCGCGACCGCTCGCAGCATCGCACGACGACGGATGACTCACCGGATTTCTTCGCTGACTCCTGCGCGAGCGACTTTATGCGCGCTGATAGCTCCATCTGGTGGCAGTCCTCGAGCTCTGTCTTCTGCTTCGCCAACATGGCCGCCATGTCGGCTAGCTGCTCTTGCTTGTAGCGCGAGAGGAGGAGGTTCTCCTTCCTCCTCAGCTCCTCCCTGCAGGCAACGTGATGTGTCACCATCATCATCATCATCATCATCATCATCATCATCATCATCATCACCACCATCATCATCATCACCATCATCATCATCATCATCGTTATCGTCATCATCGTCGTTATCGTCGTCGTCATTAGAACGTTACCAACAACGCGTGAATTCGCACAAATTTCCTTGCAACCTCGCGCAGATCTAAACGATTCACATTTATATACCTATATATTTTATAATTACATATTTATATTTATTATTATTTACATTTTATTATTTTTATCATATAGCACGATTTAAATACAGTAGCCAATAAAAATTTTAATATGTAATCGTAGGGTTGTGCACAGTTAAAAGAATTTTATTACAACGTAGCACGATGACAATTTATTTAGATTACATTTTTCGACGAAATGCCGCAGTCATTTTGCCAAAAAATTTAAACCGTTGTGCAGTGCCGAGTTGGGAAAATTATTACAATGATGCCGATCTATTTAGCATGACAAAATGCCGTGGCCGTTGCGCCTTACTTGTGCTGTTGATCAATAAAGTTCAACTTTCGCTCCAGTCTGGTCTTCTCGTCCCGTAGCTGCGTCAGCTCCCCCTGGTGGGCTTCCTCGAGGTTGAGACGCCGCGATTCCAGGTCCAGCTCAAAGTCGGCCTAAACCACGCGAAAACAACGATGACTGGTACATGACCCCGCACGACCTCCATGCGACGATGCTGACCCCAATATGACCTCTGCACCATAAACGAGTAACCTTCGACATATATGATTATCGTCAAGTTCACGGATTATTAATGATACCCCCCTCTATCTGACCTTCACAACACTGACGCCTGCTGTGTGACCTCTATCTGACCTTCACAACACTGACGCCTGCTGTGTGACCTCTATCTGACCTTCACAACACTGACCGCCCCCCCCCCCTGTATCATCTACCTTCTGTGCTTTTAGCTTTTGCTCCAGCTGACTCGCGAACTTCTTGAGGATGTGTGCGGCACGCTCGCCCCTCGTGGCGGCGCCACCCGCCTCGCCGCCGCACTCCGCTCCCTCCAGCTCGGCTAGCTGTGACTCCAGCCTCTCATAGTCTGCCGCAAGCGCCGTGACCTACGCAAACAACGCGTCATACGCTCATTCAATCACCGTCGTTCAACGACATTCAACGACATTCACAAACAATGTACGATACGCTCATTCAGTCCCCGTCGTTCAACGACATTCAACGACATTCACAAACAACGTGTCATACGCTCATTCAGTCACCGTCGTTCAACGACATTCAACGACATTCACAAACAATGTACCATACGCTCATTCAATCACCGTCGTTCAACGACATTCAACGACATTCACAAACAATGTACCATACGCTCATTCAATCACCGTCGTTCAACGACATTCAGCAACATTCGCACACGATTTGACGCATTATCGGTGATCATCGTTTAATGACATTCGAACACGATTAAAACAATTCGACGTCAATGCCACGTCGACTACGACTTTAATTTATGTGCGAAGCGTGACCCTGCTCCCATCGCTTGCTACCACTGTCTGTACCCCCACATCATGCCACACACTGCCCCATGCTGCTACGGCGAAGTCGGTGTTATCACTTGCTACCACTGTCTGTAAATCTGCCGCACACCGCACACATACTACTGTCCTGCCGTACGCATCAACATCTGTGTTACTAACATACAGTGTTAGCGCCACCGCGCACGCACGCACGCACGCCTGGCTCGTCCCGTGTACCGTGACACGGTGAACAAGAAACGAACGAAGGCTGCGTAAAATCACCGACATTACGCCCGGGCCACCGCGGTCGACCGAGCGCGGTCCTGCATTCACCGCCGCTATCGCGCCACGGGCTGCTATCTCTCGCGCGCGTCGCCCGATCGTCGGGGCAGGCTTTCAACGCGACCGCCCCGCGTGACGCCGCCGCCGCCACCCTGCGAGGGTGATTATCACCACGGTAACCTGAACGGTTACCATAGCAACAAACAGACAGATGCTGCGACGCGAGGGTGATCATCATCAGGGTAACCTGATCGACAGGTATATACTATATAGTAGTGTGGATGCTACCACACAACAAAACACACGCTGCTGCTGGACACACACGAGCGTTCGCAACGTGCTTGAGGTAGATGCTCGAACCAGCAATGCGTCATCACGTACGTACACTAACACACGGACTAACACTCGTACTAACACACGTACACTAACACACGGACACACTCGCCTGTACGCGTGTACACACATACGCTCGAGTGCACACGCGTACACGTACACACGCGAGTATTCACACACACACACAAGAAACATGTACAACAGTGACTCGTCCTGCAAAGGGCACTACCGACACACCTCACAACCTTCCCGAATCCAACCATAGACTGCCTTATCACTCACAGGGGCTTCACACTCACACACGCACATACACACACACACACACACACACACACACACACACACACACACACACGCACACACATGCACGTATCTCACCCTCCCACCCTGGGCTTTCCCGTTGACCAGCCCCGCCTCATCCCCGACCCCCACGGAATGCTGATCACAGCGTTGGGAAATTAACGATGCAGTTTCTACGATGCCCGAGGCGATCGGGCGGGTGGGCGAGCCGGGATCGCAAACACAATTATGTGATTCATTAAATCTGTAACATCTCACGCGGCGCCGCCGAAGACACCTCCGACTCTATCTACCTGCTAATTAGCAAACGTTTTCCGTTCGCTACCTTGGAGCCGGCAGCTGCTTCGCGGCCGGTTGCCAAGGAGACGGATGCGTTCGAAAACGACGCAAACGGAGCGAGGGAACACGGTAGATCCACGGTCACGCGCGGACATGAATTTTTAAACGGCCGATGAATGCCTGCGATTGGGGATCGGTCCCCAAGGTGCGCGGCTCTGTTATGGTCGACAAAACAGTGGTGCGTGCTCAGGTGCGCGGCGGCGGCGGCGGCGAGGGGGGTGGATGCATTATGCAGGCAGCGGGCACGCACGTGTGATCGTGTGAACAATACCAGCAACTGCTCCCGTGGGACGACAACAATCAGGCTGTGCATTAATGATGATTGCCAGGCCTGCAATCAACGATTCCTCGTTTGCAGTAACCCGGAACCGATCGAAATCACGCTCGATGTAACGGCTGAGAGGGGCGGCTATGTATTTCAAATTAAAAAAAAAATCTTTTTCGTTGGTTTAGTTAATTAAATTTTTATTTTAATTACATTTTTATTTTTGTCTTATTAACTAATGTCTTTTGGCACTTCTTTTGAATACTACTACACTCTACGAATAGAGAAACCACATAGGATCCACTAACAACTAGAAACGAGCAGTTGTCGCCAACTACATGTATCCCCCGTGATCTAGTATGAATGGAATCAGGAGTAAGATAATATAGGATATATATATGTATCCTGTCAAGAGCTAATAATACCTAGAGTGTACAACGGAAAAACGGGAAAATAGTGCTATTTCACGACTACATTATTCTACTTTGCCTGCGAGTCTAGAATAATTTCATTAATTTCAATGGTATTGCATTAAGCAGAATTCCTTGCTCTCTACAACAAGACCAACCGCTTGTCAATACGATACTCCTAGGCTGAGATATCGGCTCCTAAACCTCCCCTCCCACATGCCTTACGCGGCTTTGAATCCACATAATTCAGCAACCTCCACGCGTCTAAGCATTGCTTCGTGAAAGTTCGGTTTTTCCGTGATCAAATTTGATGAATGAACGGTGCGATTCCCTATTGCCTTCATCTCCATTATCTTTCCTAGCACGGCTAATGCCCGTCATGATGCGAGCGCCGCTCATCATCAAGTTCTTACAACCGCTAGCTCAGTTTACTCAGTGTAGTAATAGTAGCTCAAATTTGGGCATGTGACCGATCAATAGTTCAGCGCTCCAAGCCACGTGACGGAAACTGATAGCACAAACTGAGCAAGGAGCATGCAATACCATGAAATTATTCTATGACTCGGCAAGGCAAAGTGAGAATAATGTATCGTGACAATAGCACTAATTTCCCGTTTCCCGTTGTACACTCTAGCGTATTCATTAGCTCTGATTCCTATATATATAGGATCCTATATATCTTTATCTCCTGATGGATATATCATCGTGTAAGGACGTAGAAGCGCAGCGGTAACGTTAAAGAAGTCACAAGGACAAAGTGTTCGTTAGACAAACTGGTCTGCCTCAGATGGCAAGTATATGGAATCTGGCTACCTAGGAGTGCCGAAGAGGAAATGTAAGTCGACGGTCAAAGGTCAAACTAAGGTCAAGCGGCCCAGTGGTATGGGCACAGACCTGTCTCCCCAAGATGTGTAAGCATTACCAAGATTGTCGCGCTAGGTCAATTAGGCGGCCTGAAGTTAGAGAGCAGAAGGAAATATATCGAAGGTCAAGTAAATGGCTGAAATAAAGGGCTAGTCGACCTGTGGGCAGTTTTTACCCAATCTCGGATACATCTTCAAATTTGCTGACAGCGTGCTTTGGTAAAGCAAAGGACGCCAAGCGTTTTTGGGTGGCGGTAGTCATCGTTGCCATGGTAACAACATTTTAGTCGAAATATTGGTTAGAAACCTGTAACTTGTGGCTGTTTTACCCGATTGTATGGAATTGGGACACAAGGGCCGATATAACATGTCCTATATATATAGTATCTAAATAGATATATTTGATGACAATATAAATAATTAAATTCAGAAATATTAAATTATATACAATAGTTATTATTTTTATTTAAAATTAATTTTAATACAAATATAAATTCATGACAATTCGGGTAAAACTGGAGGAGATTATAGTTTAAAATATTTCGACAATAAATGTTTACCAGCAACGATGACTCCACCCACAACAAAAACGATTGCGTCTTCGCTACGATATTAAAGACACTTCATGCGAAATTTGAGATGCATCCGAGAAGCAAACTGCCAGCCGTGCGAGCCTTTCACAGGAAGAATCTCTTGCGGCGGTCGGCGAAGAACTTCGTTCGGGGATACAACTAATTATGAGACGTGAGCCGAGATGCTTTACTTAGAGCTAGTGGAGTCTTTGCATCATATGAGTGAGATCGTCTGTATCATAGCTGCGTGGGGCTGCCCTTTACGTCACGTAAGAAATCAATTGCTGATTAATTCTCTAAATAATTCCCCCTCCTCACCTTCGTTCTTCTCCTCACATCCTCCTCTCCACATTAACTCACCACCTTCTCCTCCTCCTCCTCCTCACCTCCTCCCCCTGCCTCCGTCCTCTCGCCTCTCCCCTCACTCTCTCCTCCTCCTCCTCCCTCTCCTCCTCCTCCTCCTCACCTTCCTCCTCACCTCTCCTCTGAGTATAACTTCACATCCGCTCACTGTAGTTCCGGCTTCTCTCATCCTGCATCTCCTCCTCCTCCCTCCTTCTTCCTCCTTATCCGATCCTCCTCACCTCCTCGCTCACCTCTCGACAGATAACTCATCCCGCCTTCTGCTAGTTGCCGCTCTCCATCTCCATTCCTCCTCCTCCCTCCTCCTCCTCCCCTACTCCTCCTCCCCTCCTCCCCTCCTAAACCGTCTCCACAGTAACTCACCGCTATCTCGCTCCCCTCCTCCTCCTTCCTCCTCCTCACTCCCTCCTCCTCCTCCTCTCCTCCTCCTCTCACCTCCTCCTCACCCTTCCTCAGTAACTCACACCGCTCCTGTAGTTGCCGCTCTCTCTCTGCCATGCTCCGCTCCGTCCTCTCTCCTTCTCCTCTCTCCTCCTCCTCCCCCCTCCTACCTCCTCCTCCACTCTCGCACAAGAATCCACCGCCTTCTCCTCCTCCTCCTCCTCCTCCTCCACCTCCTCCTCACGTCTCACAGCTAACTCAACCCGGCCCTGTAGTTGCCGCTCTCTCTCCTGCATCTCCTCCCGCGCAGCTGCTGGCGTTAGTGCGCCCTCAGGTGTCGGCCAGCGCCGCCTCCAGCGCCCTCTGCGATCGCCGACCTCCGCACCTCTCCTCCTCCGCCTCGTCTCCCGAGTCCAGCGCTGCGCAAGGACCGAGTCCACCCGCTCATCGGCAGCGTCCCCGCGGCGTCACGCGCGGCCGCCGCCCCGCCGACGAGCTCCGCTGATTCGATGTCCGGCGAAACGGTGGTGCGGCGGCGCGGCCTCGTGCGAGACGCGCCGCGCCTCGTGCGTCTCGACGATCGCGAGGATCGCGTCGACGAGCTCGTGCTGCGTCTCGCTCGAGGCGTCGCCGTCTCGCCGCCCGGCCGTCTCGTCCAGCGAGTGCAGTCTCGCCGTCTCGTCGAACGTCCCGGCGCCGAGTTCGTTCTGCGTCGCAGATTCGGAGATGTGACTCAGCTCTGCTAGAGGGCGTTGCACGGCCGAATCGGACGCCGATTCAGACAAGTTGCGCTTTCCTAGGGGGCGCTGCACGGCACATTCGGACAGGTGGTGCTTTCCTAGTGGCCGCTGTACGGCCGAGTCGGAAAAGTCGTCTCCTAAAATAATCTGCGTGATCGAGTCAACTAGTTCGTGTTCGCTTGCCGTTTCCATGCCGACGATGGAATCAACAAGTTCATGGTCGCTTTGCGTTTCTATGGCAACGATGGCATCAACTAGTTCATGGTCGCTTGCCGTTTCCATGCCGACAATGGAATCAACAAGTTCATGGTCGCTTTGTGTTTCTATGGCAATGATGCCATCAACTAGTTCATGGTCGCTTGCCGTTTCCATGCCGACGATGGAATCAACAAGTTCATTATCGCTTGCAGTTTCCGTGCTGACGATGGAATCAACGAGCTCGAGCTCGCACGTGGTATCCGTGCCGACGACCAGAAGTCCTCCGTGCGCAGCCTCCTCCTCCGTCACCGTGATGCGGAGGTCGCACGGAGCGCTGCTAGGTCGCGCCACCAGCGCGTCGTCTCCGCCCAGCCTCCGCTCGCCGTCGCCGCGTGCGACGATCGACGACCCGCTGTGCCACGTCACCGCGGCAACCGCATCTACCTCATCGCTCGCCGGGATCTGAATCGCGATCGAGTGCGTGATGGACGTCGCCGGGTCCTCGCCGCGGCGCGGGGTAGAGGGCGCCGAGGGGCGCCTCGCGGCGGTGCCAGCGGCGACGGCAGCATCGTCCTTACTGTGCAGGTCGTCTCGTGTGTCGGCGAGCTCCTGGTCGAGGTTGTCTCTCGCGAGCGTCAGCGTGTCGTAGCTGATCTGCAGCGTGTCGTACCGCACCTGCCGCTCCTCATCCGCGACCATCCTCTCCTCCTCGGCGCGCCCCAGCTGCCCGATCAGCTCCTCCTCCAGCTCCACCTTGTCGTCCTGCGCCTTCTGCATGCCCATGTCGAGCTCGGCGCTGCGTGCGGTCAGGGCGGCGACGCGCCGCTCCTGCCGCCGTGCATCCTCCTCGTACTGCTGCCCCAGCTTCCACAGCTCAGACGCGCGGTCGGCGAGTCGCGCCTCCAGCTCCCGCACGTGCTCCCGCGCCTCCAGAGCCCCCTCTAGCTGCGCCTCCAGTTCCCGCACGCGCTCCCGCGCCTCCAGAGCCCCCTCTAGCTGCGCCTCCAGTTCCCGCACGCGCTCCCGCGCCTCCAGAGCCCCCTCTAGCTGCGCTTTCAGCTCCACGTTCTCGCAGAAGATGTCGTAGTCGTCGCCGAGCGCTCGCCGGAGGCTGGTCGCCGCGGCGACGCTCTCGTCACGCTCCGCGAGCGCGCGCGATCTCTCGGCGAGCGCGCGGTCGAGCCGCGCCTCGAGGTCGGCGCGCGACCCCGTCGCCGCGGCGACCGTGCCGTCGTCGCCGCCGCGCAGACGCTCGTAGCTGACGACGAGCGCGTCGTAGCGAAGCTGCATATGCGTCGCCGTCACCGCCTGCCGCTTCAGCGCCACCTGGAGGTCGTCGACGGTCGGCTCCGCGTCCTCGTCCGGCTCCCGGGCGGTGCCGCTCTCCGAGTGGCTGCGGGGGCGCCGGCGCAGCGCGACGAGCCGCGGGAGGGCGCCACCGTCGCCGCCGCTCAGCTGCGTCTGCAGCTTCTCGAAGGTCTGCGTCATGTGTTCGAGGTTGGCTCTCAGCTCGAGATTCTCCTCCTCCAGTGTGATCCTCATCGCATCGTCGTCGTCGTCGTCGTCGTCGTCGTGGTGACGCTGCGTCTGCGCCGCCGCCTCCCTCGCGTCGCGTCGCCGCGGCGACCGCCGCCCGAGCTCCGCCTTCACATCCGCGAGCTCCGCATTGATCGCCTTGTACTTCTGCCGCCAGAGGGAGTCGGCGTCGGCGTCGAGGCCGGCGCGCGCAAACATGGCGACCTCGCTCTCCAGCCGCTGACACTCGGCCGCCTGAACCTCGGCGCCGGTCGAAGCCGTCGCCACCTGTTCACTTGTCGCATCCAGCTGGTGCTGCAGTTCGTCGAGCTGCCGCAGGAGGGCGCCGCGCGCCTCGTTCAGCTCGCCGACCTCGTCCTGCAGCCGCAGCACGAGCCGCTCGCTCACCGGCTCCCCCTGGAGGGAGTCGACGGACAGCGAGCGGCGGTGGCGTTCAATCTCGTCGTCGTAGCGACCGCGCAGCTCCCGCCGCGCCGCCTGCAGCTGAGCGACGAACTCTCGCTCGCTGTCGGCGCGCGCCGCCTCTATCCGCCGCGCGGCTGCTGCCTCTGCTGCCTCCGCACGCCGGAGCTCCCCTTCCTCGTGATCGCTCGTCAGCGCGGCCGCCTGCGCACGCAGCGCCTCCTCGTGGCGGACGGCGGCGTCGTCGGCGTCGTCATGGAGACGCTCGTGTAGCGCGAGCACCTCTTCCTGCAGACGCACGCGGAGCGTCCTCTCCTCACGCAGCTTCTCCTGTACGGTCCTTCCCTCCCCTTCCTCCTCGTCGTCGTCGTCGTCGTCGTCGTCTTCCTTTGGCGTCTCTTTTTCGTCGTCCAGCTCCTTTGCTTCCTCCGTTTCTTTCACCTTCCCCAATGTCTCCTCCTCTTCCTCTTCTATACCCTTTTCCTTTTCTAATGCCTCCTCCTCCTCCTTCCCTTCTCTTCCCTTCTCCTTCTCTAACGCCTTCTTCTCGTCCACTTCCTTCTCCTCTTCCACTCCCTTCCCTTCGCGATACAGATCGTCCATTGTAGCAGCATCGTCTGTGGATGCAGCGCCCCCTGCTGCCTCGTCGCCGATCCGCGGCGCGTGATAGAGGGCGCCGCTGCTGCTCGCCTCGTCGTCGGTGAGTTCGTGCAGGCGGGCGTGCAGCTCTCCCGCGTCGATGTTCCCCCGCTCCAAGTAAGCTCTCTTCATCTGTTTCACGTCCTCAGCGAGGGCGGCGGCGAGCGTGATGTAGCCGCGCCTCTCAGCCTCGCCCGCCTCCCGCGCCGCCTCTCCCGCCGCGCGCGCGCGACACACGCTCTCGCTAACCTCCGCGACGACGC